ATGGCCCAAGATGGCCTCCGAGATGCAAGATGGACAAGATGACCCACAAGAAAGCTAAGATGACCCCAAGATGCCTCCAAGATGGCCCAAGATGCCTCCAAGATGGCCCAATAGCCTCAACATGGCCCAAGACGGACCAAGAGGCCCGCAAGAGGCCTCCAAGACGGCCCAGCAGGCCTCCAAGAGGTCCTCCAGCAAGGCCCAAAGTGGCCAAAATCATCGTGTTTCCTCTCTTTTGTTTTTCACCACAGACAGCGCGGGCGATTTGCTAACGCCCTCTGTCCGCTCTAGCGCCGAGGCTGACTGGCAGGGCGGCGCCACCCGGGAGGACAAAATCGTGCCCCCCCTGTGAGAACAACAGAATTACTGGTGCAAGCTATCGTGTCTGGCGCGGAGCAGCCGGGAGAAAAGTAATGAGTTTCCCCCCCCTGCGCCGGCCGCAGGCCAGAGGAGTCAAAGAGGAGGAGGAGGAGGAGGAGGAGGAGGAGGAGGAAAAGGAGAAGCATCCAAGGGCGGATGGCACGAAATCGCCCAAAAACGAATCGCGCCCGAACATGGAAGCCAGTTGCGTGTCCAACCCTGCTGACTGGCCCAGACGGCCAAATCGATAAATCCCACACAATAAGCAGAGAATGACGGAGGAGGATGACGAAAGAAGAGAAGAGCGGAAGTGGGAAGCACACTCACAGCCGGCAGGCTCCATGTGCAGCCAAGGAGAAAAGAGAAACAGGCAAGGCCTGTTCTGGCAAGCAAGTAAGTGGCGGATGGTTTACGATGAGGGGCCGCGCGTCGCCCCTAAATGGCCCCACCCCCAAGGGCGGCAGAAAACCAAGCCCGCGGCCGAGAGGCCCAGGGTCGGCTGACCGCGGTCGTGGGGGGGCCAGATTAACATGCAGCATGCAGAACGAAACCCTAAGAAGCACTTCACACGCAAGAACTATCAAACAGAAAGGACGCTGGAGGGGAGGAAGGGGGGCCCAGGCGCAGCTAGCCGCGGACGCGCTCAGAGGGATACGTCGTCGGGCATCATCCCGGTGTCCCTGAAGGTGGCTGGCGTAGGCGCTGACGTCGGTATTGGAATCGGTGCTGTCGACGGTGCGGCGCCGGCGTCGGTACTGAGGTCGTCGCCGACGTCGGTGTCGGCATGGGAGCCGGCGTGGATGCCAATGTCGGTGTCTGGTGGTGGCGGTGCCGGGGCGCCGTCGTCGGCGTCGGCGTCGGTGGTGGCGGCGGCGCTGGTGTAGGCATCGGCGTCGGTACATGAATCGTGGCGGGGGGGGCACGATTTGTCCCCCCCAGTTTCGGCCACGCTGGCAGGACAGATGTTCACAGAAGCACTGGGCACGACGAAGCACCCGAGCGTGAAGCACCCGAGCGCGAAGCACCCGAGCGTGAAGCACCCGACGCAGGCTTCCGCATTGCAGCATGCGATGGAACGGCCGTCGGAGCTGGAGAAAAAGCTGGCCACCAAATAGTGTTGGGGCGTTGATCGGAAAGCTGGAAAGCTGTAGTCGCCACGGCGCGGCTCGTAGCGTTGCTGCGCCCTGACCAGGGCGTCGGAGCCAGAGTCGGAGCCGGCGCCGGCGCCAAGCATCGTGCGGTCAATGCCCGTCCTTGGGCTCAATGTCGTCAAACTCCATCTACCTTCCTCATCGTTTCCTGGCTCGCGCCCCCTTTCGGAACTCAGCCGGCGAACTGGAATGTGCCGTTCTTCTCGTGCATCGTCGTCTTCTGTTCCGTTGTCTCGTGATCGAGATGAGTGCGGGGTCGCCCATCAGCATCTCGATCTAACACTCTGCGACCCCCTTTTTCGACCATCCCACCCGCGGACCCGAATGCCTTGTTCTTTATCTCCGCCACCTGGATGAACACACTCACCATGGATCCATGTTCGTTTTTGTCGCACAATAGATCGCTGCCCATGGTTCCTTATGAGTGGCCCATTCGCTGCAACGCAGTCTTTCCCATTCTTGGAAGCCTCCGCGGGGTCAAAGAGGAAGTGAACTCCCACGTTCGGAGGCCCAACCGTCTTATAGGCTCTCGAGTTCACACTAACAACGACGGTTTCCATCCCACTTCCCTGGTCTCTTACTGGCACAACAATCACGCCCTGACTGGGCCCCATCCATCCCACGAGCTGCAGTTCGGCGAGTTTGCGCGCGCAACAGTCTCTCCTGCTCGATGCACTCCGAAATCGCGCGGCCCCAGTCGGTGCCATAATTGCAAATAACGCCGCACTCATGTGGCCCGCACTTCTTCTCGGTGCCTAGCATTGCCTCCTGTTCAATCTCTTCGTCTCACGGTGCTGCATCCTCCACTCTCTGGTTTCTTTTCACCGGCCCCTGTGCGTTGATGTCGCCCGTGTCTCCACCGCTGTCAATGGCCTCACCCCTGTCAGCGCAGCGGCATCCCGGCCGAGAAACAGGGGATGCCCTAAAAACTGCGCGGGCTCTCCTGAACCCCCTGCCCCCCGTTGGCCGGGGGATTACCCCATTAGCGTTCTCAGGGCAGCGCGCTGCGATGTGGCCCTTCTCGCAAAATTTGCAACGCCCCTTGTCGCTGACTGGCAAAAACCAGCCTGCGCCTCCTCCTTTCTATTCGGGCCCCTAACCTCCTGGGCGACTTCCTATGGCGATCCCTATGCAACCTCCTTTGGCACAGCCTAATGAATAACCTTCGGCGCCCCGATCGCCTCCCTGGCGCCCCCTTCTTGCATGATCTGGTAACCCGTGGGTCTTCTGTGTCTTCCTTGTCCATATCCTTTCCCTTCCGCGGTTCCTTCAATGGCACAGGTTTCGGCAATATTCCCATGACCATCTACGTTTGCAACACATGGGCCATTTGCCTTTGCCCTTTCCTTGGCTCATTCTATTCGCGTCGCCGTCTCCGATCATGTCCTCCACATTCCAAGTCCACCAGTTCCCGCTTTCGTCGCGATTAGCAGAATCGCTTACGCATGTGCATCGGCCACCAAAGTCCTCATCGTACATTTGGCCGCCCTCCACAGAACCGATATGTGTTTTGCGTTGGCGTCCCATCTTTTCTCCCTTACCCAACCTTCGCACTCGATGAAGTTTGGGAGGCGTCAAGACATAACGATTCTGGCGTCTTACAGCGATCCTGTTGCCAGTCGTCGAACCAACCTCCCGCGCGAGCAACGATAATTCTCAGCGCAATAGCCATGGATGGTAATGGTGAAGAAGATGCCAGCTCAAACTTCCCCGCGGATTCTACCAATGAGCTCCGCTGCTCGAGTTGACTCGCCACATCGTTCACCTTCTTGGGTTTTTATGATTCATGGCCAGGTTTAAATCTCGCGGGAGAGTGTGACTCCGGCAACGGCAGAATTACAAGTGCAAATCTCCTGAAAGTTCATCAAGCCGTCGCTTCCGTGTAGACCCCGCAGCGTTCCACTGGGCTCCGTCCCCTCCAACTTGTAAGTTCAAACATACCAAAGGTTCTCTGCCAACTGACTCAGATTATCTGTTTGCGTCGTCGTTCTGTCTCTTGGTCTCCGAAATCTTGGTGTCCGCTGAAGGTTAACCTTCCGTGTATGCCATATGAAATATATCCGATCATCCTCTTCGTCATCATGTAACGCCGCATCCATGGTTCCGTGTTTGTTGTTCAGATGTGTCAAGGCCTTCCGATAACGATGCTTCACTAAGGCGAGCGTATTTAACACCTTTGCGTTCCATTCCCTGAACTTGGCCCCTTCACCCGAAAAACAAAAGCGACGGCCGAACCCACTTATACTCGCTCACAGGCTTGCCTCCACCTCCTCTCGCCCTGGTGTTTCCAACAGACCGTATAGCCCCAGCGATCTTGGTAAAAAGCCCCGAGGCGTTCACTTGACGATGGCGTAATACCCGAACATATGCTTTCATGTTACCGAAGGTTTCCTCGCAATATACATGTTGCGGCGGATTGTTGGTATCATGGGAGCCTTCATGTTGTAGCTCATCTGCAAGATTGCGAGTGCCTCCTCACTGCCAACCGTTATGGTGCCATGTGTAGCGCTGCGATCGAATAATATATGCATCCTTTCATGGGTGGCCTTGGGCGCTATTGACATACTTGATATTTCCGTTCTCTCGGCTACACGCAAGGTTTACCCTGGGCAACAGTGACCTTAGGTGCGCGGCGTTTTGAAGGCCACGGGAGACCAAACACAAGCGCGCCGAAGGCTACTATCGCACCGCACTCAGCGATCGGGGGGCCCAGTCACTCCGGCGAAGGGCCACTCCCACGTGTAGTCGAATTCTCGGAATCGGCATTGCACAATTCCGAGGACCAGCGTTGCACCAAGCTTCCGGGACCTCGAGTAACGTCACATAATGGAACCTGGGTCGGTGGTCCCAGGGTTCGGAAGGGGCCGTTGTGGCTGCCGCTGCGGCCACTGCGGGAAGGCAAGTGCTTCGCGAAGTGACCCACGCGCACGGAAACCCGTCGGGCGAACCACGGCCTCCGCTGCACTGAAAATATGATCGGATCCTTTTCCCCTGGAGACGATTAGCACTTGAGCCGAACAGGGTCGGCGATGATCACTGCTGGTAGGGCTGAGACAGATAGGCCACGAACGTGCAACTGATGCACGCCGTACTGCAGCCGTCCACCTGCTCACCCAGTGGAAACGCTATCGTCAAACCTCTCCTCCTCCTCCTCCTCCTCCTCCTCCTCCTCCTCCTCGACCTCCTCCTCCTCCTCCTCTTCATCATCATCATCATCATCATCATCATCATCATCATCATCATCATCATCATCATCATCATCAGCATCATCATCAGCAGCATCATCATCATCAACAGAATCATCATCTTCATCCTCCTCCTTCCTCTTTTGATCCTCCCCCTCCTCCTCCTCCCGCAAGCCTTCCCCGAAGAGTTTAGAGAGCGGGCGGGGGAACATATAGTCCGTTTCCTTGGCCAAGCTCTCGCCAAAGGTTTGGCCACAGAGGCGTTTCCCAAGAAGGCACGGGGCGGCGGTGATTCGCCGTAGGCGTCTCCGATATCGGAAGACCGTTCTCGAGCTGTAGGCCATTGGCACGAGGTTGGCATACACTATCTCTCCTTGGTAGTGGCTGGGGTCTGTCCTGCCCACGACCAGCTCTCCGACCTCACCGGGGACGAGCCCCAGGTGGAAGCTGAACACGCCTCGGGCAAGGCCGCCGTGCTCCACCAGGGCATGCATCGGAGGCCGAACGTGGTCGACAGAGAGGGCTCCCCACCCTAAGCCACAGATGCCGTCGAATGGCAAATTTGTATAGAGCTCGCCGAGCCCACCGGCGTTGTCTACCTCTGAGAAGACGCACTGCGGCACAGAGAGGTTGCCCAAGGTCACAGTGTCCTCGGAGAAATGCCCGCTCACGTCGCCAGAGGCATACTTTATCTTGAATGCCGCGCCGCGGGGCACGTATGTAGTCGACTTATCGCTGTCGTACAAATGTTTGCTGGCCGCCACCTGGCCCTCCAGATGGACGTTGGGCACCCAGAGGTTGGAGGACCCCGTGTCGAAAACCACCAGCGCCAGCTGGGGGGGGGTCCCAACCAGTAGCTCGCCGTAGTAGGCAGCATTCTCGAAGTCCTGGATCGGAATCATGCTGCTATCACCCGGCTCAGTTTTGAACATCCCTCCCCGAGACTCGTACCGTACCTTCAGGAAGGCACGCTGACCGCGGGCTGCCGCCAGCCTCTCTGCCACACTGGCGGGGGCACGCCTGCGCAGCGGGACCCTGTGCAGCTCACCTGCGACGGGAACCAGGAGAGCGAGCGCGTGGCACAGCTGCCGCGGCATCGGCACAGAGAAGGGAGGCCGCCTGCGGTTCGGCGAAAGCGGAGCCCGCTAAGCCACCCACTGCTCGCTCGAGCCAACCCTGCTCCTCGAGCCAGGGCTACGGCGGCCTCGCCCGCGGGGGTGCGTGGGATACCCGACGCTCCAGAGCCAATGCCTTGGCGATCTCGCAGCCCATGCCAGCGCAGCCCCAAGAGGGCCTAAGACGGCCCAAGACGGGCCCAGGACTGCCCAAGAGGGGCCCCAAGATGGACCTAAACGACCCCAATCAGCCCTCCAAGACAGACCCGCGAGCGCTCTTCAGCCCAAATCCGCCCCCGCGCCCCGACGTGGAATTTACTTTGTCCCCCTCGGGCTCTCGCCGCTGAATATTCTCAGTGCTCTTTCCGCTACCGTGCCCCCTGGCAAGCGGAGCCGCGGCGGAATGACAAGTGCTGCCTGGCGGGAAGTCCGCCGACCCCTTGGGGTCACGGCGTGTGAGATGCTCCCCCCTCCCCAAACCCCTCCCCCGGGAGCCCGATCCGACCGGTTTGGAAGGAGGGGAGAGGGGGGTGGGGGGGGGGCAAAGGTCTGATCAGGCCCCACGAAGCCCCAGAGGGCTCCAAGCAACCCCCCCGACAGCCCAAGAGGCCCCCGAGACGCCCAAAGGTCGGCCCAAGACGCCCAGGATGACCCCAAGACGGCCCCAGAAGCCTCCCAGACGGCCCAGGAAGCCTCCAAGAGCATTCCCAAGAGGGGCCCCAGACGCCCAAATCGTTGGGTTCCTATGGGGAAACGTACAATTTTCTCATACACGACTTTTCGGCCTTCACGGCGTTGAAGACGGCCCCAGAGTCCCCCAAGACCGCCCCAAAACGGCCCAAGAGGCTCCCAAGAGGCGCTCGAAACGGCCCAAGAGGGCACCAAGACGGCCCAAGAGGCCCCCAAGACGGCCCAAGAATGTCCCAAGACGGCCCAAAGAGGGGCCTAAGAGGGGGAGCCTGAACCAACAATCCGACCCTTCCGCCCGAAAACGGCCCCAGGGGGGCCCACGAGGCGCCCAACAGGGCCCATGAGGCCCCCAAGAAGCCCCCCAAAAGGCCCAAGAGGCCCCCAAGAGGCCCCAATTGGCCCCCAAGAAGCTCAAAAGAAGCCCCAAGTACCACCTGAGGCATGTAACTTCTAACCCGCAACCCAGGCACACCAAGGATCTCAGGCCGACAACCAAGGCACGGTGGCGAGATGGGCCGAAGGCCACTATATCCGCCGCCCCCTGCTTGCAGGGGTGCCTGGCGTGTTAGATTTTATCGGTTTTGGTTTTGGTTCTTTTTCTAAAAGAACTCCCCAGTGGGCTTCGGCCCGTCCCGCCGGCCACCCGGAAAGGATGCCCAGGAGCTCAATTCCCCAATTTCCTGCCCCAGACGGTTCCAAGATGGCCTCCAAGATGCCTCTAAGACGGCCAGGATGGTCTCTAAGACGGCTAAGATGGCCTTATGATGCCTCCAAGACCCGCCCCCTGCTTGCAGGGGTGCCTGGCGTGTTAGATTTTATCGGTTTGGGTTTTGGTTCTTTTTCTAAAAGAACTCCCCAGTGGGCTTCGGCCCGTCCCGCCGGCCACCCGGAAAGGATACCCAGGAGCTCAATTCCCCAATTTCCTGCCCCAGACGGTTCCAAGATGGCCTCCAAGATGCCTCTAAGACGGCCAGGATGGTCTCTAAGACGGCTAAGATGGCCTTATGATGCCTCCAAGACGGTCCAAGACGGCCTCCAAAACGGCCCAAGAGAGTCCAAGACGGCCCAAGACGGCCCAAGAGGCCCCCCAGAGGCCTCCCAGACGGCCCAAGAGGCCTCCAAGAGGTCCTCCAGGAGAGTCCGAAGAGGCCAAAATCATTGATTTTCCTTTGGTTTTTGAAGGATTTTGGCATTTGCGCCTTTTCGGCTCTCCGACGGCTCAAGACGGCCCAAGAAGCCCCCAAGATCGCCCAAGAGGCCCCCAAGAGAGCCCCATGATGGCCCAAGTGGCCTCCAAGATGGCCCCTAGAGGGCCCCAAGAGGGCCCAAGAGGCCTCCAACACGCCCAAGATGGCCTCCCAGACGCCCAAGATGGCCTCCAAGACGGCCCTGGAGCATTCCAAGCGGGCCCCAAGTCGGCCCATAGAGGCCCCCCAAACGGCTTCCGACGGCTTCAGACGTGCCAGGAACCCACCAAGATGGCCGAAGTTGGCTCGAAGCTGGCCCGAGACGGCCCAAAAAGCCCCAAAGATCGCCCAAAGCTTGCCCAAGAGGCCTCCAAGACGGCCAAGATGACCTTCAAGATGCCCACGTGTTCCCCGAAGGCTTTCCAAACCGATTCGGGGAACACGTGGTCCGATAGCTTGGCAGGTCTGGCCTCAACGTTCGGCCACATAGGCGCTTCCAAAAAGGCAGGGGGCGGCGGTGATTCGCCGTAGGCGTCTTCGATCCGCCGCCCCCTGTGGTCTTGCCACAGGGGTGCACGGCGTGCTGGACGATTCAGGTTTTGGTTTTGGTTCTTTTTCTAAAAGAACTCCCCAGTGGGCTTCGGCCCGTCCCGCCGGCCACCCGTAAGTTTCCGAAAATCCATCTGTCAATGCCTTTGTTGCCCCAACTTGGCCCAAGATGGCCTCCAAGACGGCCAAGATGGCCCAAGATGGCCTCCAAGATGCCTCCAAGACGGCCAAGATGGCCTCCAAGACGGGTAAGATGGCTCCAAGATGCCTCCAAGACGGCCCAAGATGCCCTCCAAGACGGCCAAGATGGCCCCAAGATGCCTCCAAGATGGCCCAAGAGGCCTCCAAGACGTTCTCCAGGAGAGCCCGAAGAGGCCAAAATCATTGGTTTTCCTTAGGTTTTTGAAGGTTTTTTGCGTTTTCTTCTTTTCGGCCTTCCGACGGCCCAAGAGGCCCCCAAGATCGCCCAAGAGGCCTCCAAGAAGGCCCTATGACGGCCCAAGGGCCCCCCAAGACGGCCCCAAGAGCGCCCCAAGACGGCCCAAGAGGCCTCCAAGACGCCCAACATGGCCTCCAAGACGGCCCTGAAGCGCCCCAAGAGGGCCCCAAGACGGCCCAGAGAGGCCCCCAAGACGGCTCCAGACGGCGTCAGACGGACCAGGAACGCCCTAAGACGGCCAAAGAGACCCCCAGGAAGCCCCCAAAGGCCCCCAAGAGGCCCAAGGAGGCCCCCAAGATGCCTCCAAGAGGCCTCGAAGAGGCCCCCAAGAAGCTCCCAACAGACCCCAAGGGTGCCCCAAGAGACTCCTAACAACCCTCATCCTCCTACTCTATTTCTTCCTCTTCCTCTTCCTGTTCATAATCATTCTCTCCCATGTGTTCCCCGAAAGCTTTCCAAACCGACTCGGGGAACTCATGGTCCGATAGCTTGGCCAAGCTCTAGTCCAACTTTCGGCCACATCGGCGTTTCCAAAAAGGCAGGGGGCGGCGGTGATTCGCCGTAGGCGTCTTCGATCCACCGCCCCCTTTTGCTTCAGCAAAGGGGTGCCTTGCGTGCCAGGCCAAAAACATTGATTGTCCGTATGTTTTTGACGGATTTTGACATTTGCTTCTTGTCGGCCTTCCGACGGCCCGAGACGACACAAGAGCCCCCAGAGATCGCCGAAAGATCGCCCAAGAGGCCTCCAAGACGGCCAAGATGACCTTCAAGACGCCCACGTGTTCCCCGAAGGCTTTCCAAGCCGATTCGGGGAACACATGGTCCAATGGCTTGGCAAGTCTGGCCTCAACGTTCGGCCACACAAGACGGCCAGGATGACCTCCAAGACGGTCCCAGATGGCCTCCAAGTCCGCCCAAGATGGTCCAAGACGGCCTCCAAGACGGCCTCAGAGAGTCCAAGACGGCCCAAGACGGCCCAAGAGGCCCCCCAGAGGCCTCCCAGACGGCCCCAGAGGCCTCCAAGAGGTCCTCCAGGAGGGCCCGAAGAGGCCAAAATCATTGATTTTCCTTTGGCTTTTTGAAGGATTTTGGAATTTGCTTCTTCTCGGCATTCCGACAGCTCAAGACGGCCCAAGAGGCCCCCAAGATCAACCACGAGGCCCCCAAGAGGGCCCCATGACGGCCCAAGTGGCCTCCAAGATGGCCCCAAGAGGGCCCCAAGCCGGCCCAAGAGGCCTCCAACACGCCCAAGATGGCCTCCAAGACGCCCAAGATGGCCTCCAAGACGGCCCCGAAGCGCCCCAAGAGGGTCCCCCGTTGGCCCAGAAAGGCCCCCAAGACGGCTCCCGACGGCGTCAGACGAGCCAGGAACCCACCAGGA